AAGAGACACACGTTCACTAAGCCGAATCACAGTGATCTGCTATTTTAAAGTAAATTCAACACATATCGACCCTAAATATAGCATATATTAAGAACGAGAAAGTGTTAACATCGTTTTTTGTAAACATATGACAAATGTGCGAGGGTGATGACATCAGAGCATCGTCCTATGGGCTTAGCCCCGGACAGGTACAACAGGTAGTCACTCAGAGGGGGGTAGGTACCCATTTACATGTCAAAAATCAACATACAGTACTTCCTCCACAAAAAGCAGCCTTCTGTTTATTCAACGTGGTGGGGGCCGAAGGAACCGGGCAGAGTTTTTCGCCGGTCAACGTGTGTGAAAGTTTAAATCTTCCTTATTGAGCTTTAAAACAAATGAATAACGACTATATATAATAATAAAATAAAGACCGGCATTAAAAAAAAAGTCATGAAAGAGATAAGGAGGAGAAAAGGTTTAAGGAAGTAAGCAAGGAATACAGAATGTCGAAATTAATCCTCTGTTTCACGCGATGTCGAACATTGAAAAGTCCTTATAAAATGATAGAATTTAAAAGAGTCTTGAAAAAGCATGGTGATGGCAATAAATGCATTAATGAATCCCCAAAATCTACAGAATACATTTAATTTAAGGGGAGCAGTTACTGAGAAGTATATAATGAGAACTGCTACCAATGGTGGCCTATTTAGTTTATTAAGAAATACATATTTTTAGCTATTCATTCGCAGAAGTGATCTATCTAAGTTCTATTCATATTCTTGATGGGAAGAGTTAGTATACAATAGGCTTTAAGGCGAGACACCCCAGGTGAATAGGGTAATTTTTTTAACTTAAAGATATCAGCTAAAATTTCTCCAGTTAATTACTTACAATATGGCAATGGTTTTTTGTATTACAAGTTTTCTGAAATAGCATGTTTAAATATGCAAATGAACCATTATCTCATGAAATATGCGCACATTTTAACACATTTCAGGAACCGAAATCTGAACTTTGGATAAAGCCAGGATCAAAATGATTGTTTCATTTCGTAGTCATATTAGTATCTAAGGCTTTTACAGAAGGGATTTTGGATATCTCTTTGTATCACTCCATAAATCAGAAAATACTGTCAACAGCCCTAAAATATCAATTTTCACCATGTTTTTAGGTATAAAATGTTATATAATTCAGGCTATGAATTATATATGACCAAACCCTTCTGTAAAAGCCTTCATAATATTGATAGGAATATAACTGGAAGGTGTGGTGTATGTAACTGCTACTGAAGTGGAAATTTCGAACTCAGAGTAGGAGAAAAAACTCATTTTGAGAAAACGACCTTTAAAGATTGCAGTGTGACGCTAGCTAAACCCTCCTGTTATCTGGATGATAGCTTACGCATCGACGCACTCCGTGAAGGTATTTCATGTTCGGGGTCATTTGTTTTTTGTATAACCTTGCTTTGTGCAAGTGACAATTGTTGTCGTCTCCTCTGTGAACGTTTTTTTCTCCGTTATTTTGCCATTTTCAGATTTAAATTTCTAGCGGAAAGCTAACCAGGAAGTGCTTTAGCACACCACGTGACGCATCTGAACGAATCACGTTGTCAGAAATTGACACCAGCCAATGAGATTTCGTTTCTTGGTTTAAGACCCCTTTGCACTTTCACGATTGCTTCATAGTTGTATTTATCATCTAAATTTGCCGAAACAAGTTTAATATTCTGAAAGCCAAGACTTTGTTTATTTGAAATCAGATGAAAACAAACTGTAACGGACCCTGCCGTGTTATCTTGATATTTCCGGCACAGACCCTTTCATACCAGCAATGCGCGATAGAAAGAACAGGAACTGCGACAGCATAAATATGCGAACACAAACCTACAGACTGCTGGAGAAGAGATATCACAGGGGGGGGCTGGGACACACACATTCCGATGGCCAATTAGTTTTAAACAAAGAGTAGGCTATATTCAACATAGGGGGGGGGGGGGCTGGTGAACGGTATGGTCAATGTTTGTAAACACTGTGACATTTTGACTTTATTTGATCATTTCAGTTAAAAACTAACGTTCATATTTCATATTACTGTTTTGCCTGGCTGGACCTGTAATTTACAGGAAAGGAGTGCACGCTACTAAAGAGACACGCTACCATGGAAACCAAACAATGGTGTTGCTGTATTGAAGTCAGAGTGGAAACAGTCATATTTGGAGCGGCCGTTATGTTAGAATGAAACAGTCAGGTCGTGACTCACAAAAAAAAAGTGTTACTTCACTAACTGTAAGCTTGTCACTCAGAGTAACCTACACATTAGTACCAGACAAACTGTACATTGTGGTGATTGACATTATTCACCCACGGATCTATGGGTAGGGGGTATTGTTCCGCACGGACATTTTAGTGAACCAGACCAGCTGTTTCCGCCGGTCTTCGCTTCCCAGGCATGAAGTTGTTTACAAGTGTGTTCAGATGCTAAATAAAAGTTTAGCTTGTACTTTTGATACCCCGCCTCCGACTCCCGTCTCTCGGCACCACAACATCCAGTTTACTGTATCGAAGTTGATTTCACATGAGCGATGTCGAACATTGAAAAGTCCTTATAAAATCTCTGTTATTAGATCAGTACTTTTCTTATATGACTATTATTGACTTGAACACTGAGAATGTATTTATTAACTTCAGACATTTGAAATATTTGAAATCAGATGAAAACAAACTGTAACGGACCCTGCCGTGTTATCTATGATTACTATGCCTTACTGTACATTCATAATTTCAGCCGGAGGTAGGTGGTAGGCGTTGCGGAGGAGCAGATTGCGAGTGAGGTGCCTGTTCTAAACGAACTATTCCAGCTGTTATAAAGCATTAAATAAAAAGTCATGAAAGAGATAAGGAGGAGAAAAGGTTTAAGGAAGTAAGCAAGGAATACAGAATGTTTCGTTACGTTACTTTGTTGAGAATGTGCCCATGTAATAAACGGGATAATTTGCAGCGACTTGGTCATTGTGGGGAAAAATAACACCCATCCTGATCGTTTCAATGAAGTTGAATACAGAATATTCATATTTGTCAGTGATTTCATGTCAATTCGGCGAACATAAACATCAATGATGATGATTAAATTAGGATTAAAAATCGGGAGAGCCGGCTCGTTCGTTTTTTTTCGACTAAACAACATTATTTTGTTAAATAACAACATGGTGATGTTTTGTAAATGATTACATGTCTTATTTAGCACAGACTATGATCCTATCCGTGACATATGGATCTTAACAACAAAGAAGTTGATTTCACATGACTCCAGTGTGGAACCCCACTGCACCCCCTGGTGGATCAATGATCCATTGCAGCTGGCTTCACAATAATTAAATGTATTTATCACGGGGGCGGTATCAAGTCAGACTGGGGGCCGGCCGGCCATCACGGAACGTGCACGAACCAATCACGACCCTCGCGTTTTAAACTGTCCAAAATAAGACGCTCCATCTGTAACTGATCTTTTTAATTTTTTTTCTCCAAAAAAACCCACAATGCTAACACTCAGCCTCTGAATTAGCCACGAGCGAAAAAATGCTAACCTATCACTGCACCTAAACTCACTCATAACTCCCTTATTACTTATCCTAGATGCACAGCCAACCCATCGATTAGCATCGTCTGGAGACACAGAATTGATGGGTGCCCACCTCAACACTCAGTGATAAACATTTGCGACTCTATAAATGAAAACGTACATCAAAACATGTGGCGCTAGGTAGCTACAAACGCTAACATGGCTTACCTTGGTCAAAACTTGTCTTCAATGGCATTAAAACGATAAAAAACGATGCTGCAGTTAATCCATAGGTTCATCCAATGTGTCTGTGTCCTCTTTGAAATGATTTCTGATAATCCATAAGCAATACAACTGCTTTTTCGTTTCCAGATGTCAGAGCGAGAGATCGCTTCACTCTGGTGCAAACCTGCATGCGCGAAGCCGCCACCTTTTGTTTTCACAATGAGTGTGTGTGGGGGACTCCCCCTTCGATTATATTGGCTCTAACGGTCAGAAAGAGGTGTCAACCATCAAAATCGACCAATGGGTTCCAGAGATATGAAGAAAAAAAACATTTTCACCCAAATCACCTCATAGGTGGAGTGTTTTTGGCTAAATCTCTCTAAAAAGGTCAAATGTCACTTGTTTTGCATCAATCTTGATACAGGGTACTTATTATATGTTGTACTTTGGATTCCTAAAGCTTTTAGTCTACCTTACCATCATCCAAGGGTAGTTTTCACTATAAGTAAAAAATAATTTTTGGACGGACACTATAATTTACAGTTCTATGCTATGTAAAATCTGAATTTTCTTTAAAATAAAAAACATCTATATTGATTCTGACTTATCTACATCCAACTCACAGGTTTATCATTACTTTGAGAAAAAAGATTATTAATTTAACCCTTTTAGAAGGGAAGATATGGTCATTTGTTCTGGGAATGTCATTTTCGAGCCTGAGACCTGAAAAAACAGGCTCAGGGCTTCACAGGTTAAGATGTAAAAAAAAAAAAAAGGGAGAAGGGGTCGGATTAAGAAGTTTAAACTTCTTATCCGACCCTCTCCCTTTTTTCAGACGTGTAATGAGCTAAAGCTTTGTTGTTTATTGATATCAGACAATGATACTACAGATTATTCAATTATTAATTAAATGTTTCGTTTTGTTATTGCATTCATTTGTATAGTACTGTATCATGTCTGTATCACCTTTTGTATCATTTGTATTTTCTTTGGTTTTACACGCTCGAAAAAAATAAACTAAACTAAACTAAAACTAAACCCAGCAACTTTACACCAGTGGGAGAGGCATAACTGCTCTTTCTTTTCAACATAACTTAAGTTACACATGATTTCTTCCAAGTGGTTTGGCTTGTTAAAAACATCTTACATTTAGATACATTATGATACAGGAAATTGCTGGCTTTGTGTTTACAGAAGTACCTCACTATGCCGGACTTTTGTGCAGCCTACGGATGCTCTAATCGCCGCAGTCTGGAAACAAGAACCCGCGGAATCACCTTTCACGTGTAAGATATGACAATATTATGACTATAATTAGGATAATCGTTAATTACTTAGTGGATGTATGTGCATTACAAGTCCTGCTACACAGGATCAGTGGGGCTATGTGAGATAATAGTATTGCAAGATTGTTGTTGACCCAGCCTCTTTAGAATATGTTGCTACCATTTCTTTACACAATTATTTAATGTTTCTTTTGGACACCTTTTTTATAACTCTTAGTGTGGTTGTCTTATTCTTAAAGTATACATACATTACATTACATACATACATACATACATACATACATACATACATACATACATACATACATACATACATACATACATACATACATACATACATACATACAATTACCCCATAAATATGATAATTTCGGTTTGTAATTTTGTCCTTACCCTTAATGTTAAAGGAAAGAAGGGAGGAAAATGTTGACAATAATTTATATATCTGGCTACCTTTCTCATGTTTTTAAGGTTTCCCAAAACCGGAGAGAGGAGGAGGCAGTGGGAAGTTGCCCTAAGAAGGGACGGTTTTGTTTCCTGTGGCAGGACACTGCTCTGCAGTGATCACTTCAGTTGTGAGGACTTTGACAGGACGGGGCAGACTGTCCGGCTTAAAGATGGTGTTGTGCCAACCGTATTCAACTTCCCAGCTCATCTTCAAAGGGTATGTGTATCATTGGCCAACAAGAATTCAAGGTGTATAAGATTGATATATAAATATGTGATTAAATGTCACACTTTAGTTTTTCTTTCTGCAACTTTAGGAATAAATAATGTGTTGTGTATTACAGCACATTTTAAACACTCAAAATGTCTTTAATTATGTTTATTTGAGCCGGAAGCAACAAGAAGCACAACCACTTCAAGAAGAGCGGAAGATGAACCTCAGCCTAATGTTGTGAGTATTCTGAATGTGGCCAAGACCAGAGAGATGGTCATTGATTTCAGGAGGGTGAGGATGTCTCCTCTACCCCTGTGCATTCTGGGAGAGGATGTGGCTGTTGTGGAGGACTTCAAATACCTGGGAGTGCACTGGAGGATCAACACTGACGCTGTGCACAAGAAGGGGATGAGCAGACTCTATTTTCTGAGGAAGCTGAGATCCTTCCACGTGTGCAGCAAGATGCTGGAGATCTTCTACCAGTCTGTTGTGGCTAGTGCACTCTTCTTTGCTGCGGCCTGCTGGGGTCTGTTATACTGTTTTTCATCAATATATTACAGGTCTCAGATATATACAGAACCTGTCTCTGATTGGCTGAAACACCAAACAGATCATTGCAGCATTACCCATAACCCCCTCTGTTTCAGCCCTGTTTCCAAAGTGCTGATTCTCTGTCTGTTACTTTAGATGAAAATAAGGAGCCCCTCCCCACGCCCCTCTGAGAGAGATTTGGTTAAAAAGAACTCAATGGTGCTCTTGGAGGAGATTCAGGTGATAAGGTGGGGGGGGGGTTTACCTTGGTTGCTGATTGGCTAATGGTTACACAAGGCAAAACATCGTTATGACATCATAAAGTGGCCAAAATCTGATCAGCTCATTTTCAGACAGGTTTTTATATAAATGGATCAAAAAGAGAGAGAATCTTTGTTCCTGAAACTTTCAGAGTCTCTTTCCACAGAAGGGACACATGTTGATGAAGAAGAGACATGAAGAAGAGGGGACACATGTTGATGTAGAAGAGACATGAAGAAGAGGGGACACATGTTGATGAAGAAGAGACATGAAGAAGAGGGGACACATGTTGATGTAGAAGAGACATGAAGAAGAGGGGACACATGTTGATGTAGAAGACACATGAAGAAGAGGGGACACGTGTTGATGTAGAAGAGACAGGAAAAAGAGGATTTTGCATAATACGTGACCTTTAAAATTCCGGCACAATATATTGATTATTTCTCCCAGGTCCCACAGCCGGCTGATGGCCAGCGAGGGGCTTTACTTCAAGCTTGTGCAGCGGCAGGTTCTGGGCTTCGAGACGGGAGCAGAGGTCCTCAACCCAACGCAGGAACTCAGCTGGAAATCTGACGGAGGACAGAGGAGGAGGAGGAGGAGGAGGAGCAAGAAATGGAGCAAAATGAGTACAAAGAGGTTTAAAAATGCAACCTTTTATTCAATAATCCACCTATATGTAATGTGTCGTGTCAGAATCATCTGTTAAAACACGCAGAGCAGCTCCATGGAGTTTAAATGAAGTTGAATGTATTCAAACATATCAGAGAGGAAATAATACTTGAATAAACTTTATTACTGATATGTTAGCTTTATCATGTTGCTGTTAATGTTCTGTATAAGGTTTGTTTAATGTGTCATTATCGCACTCCAGACTGATCAATGATCCATCTGTTGGTGCTTTCTTGTGTTTTGTTGCAGTAGCAGGTGCTTTGTGTTTATTGTCTGTTTAATTACATCATCATTATTTAAAGGGGACCTATCATGCAAAATGCACTTTTGTACGTCTTTTCTACATGAATATGTGTCCCCGGTGTTCCAGGGAACTCACCAAGTGTCAGAAAACACAACCCTCTCTATTTTCCTCCATACCCAAATCTCTAAAAAAGGGGCTGCAATGGATCTGATAAAAACTGATCCAGATTTGAACACTGTCCTGACGTCAGGACGGTGGCGCTACGGCTATTGGGCCAACTCCACCAATCAGGAGGAGACAGCCACGGCCATTGCCGTTCGAAAGCGCTGGAGACGCTGTAGTACATATGCCAGGCCTGTAGATGGTGCTGTTCTCACTGAATCTGCAAAAACAGAGCTAAAATATGTCAAATTGAGCAAAATGAGGCATGGCTAAAATGCATGATCTGTTTGGTATTTTGAAAAAAAAAAAAGTATAAATATGCCTTATATAGGTATGGTCCTACACTATATTATTCAAATATAGCATGATAGGTCCACTTTAAGAAAAATAATGTAATTCCACAAATAAGCTGCAAAATCAGGTGCCTTTGATCTATGATGATGTGTGGTGATGCAAGACTGTAGAGATGCTTAAAGTAACTCTGAACTGATGTGAATAAAGATATATATTTATTAAACAGTGTAAAGAATGTACTTGGCTTTATGTGTACAAACATGTAAACACTGATAGTATTTCTAAGGTTGTTATGTCTCATGTCAAACTATTTATTTAAATCCCTTTTTATTGTGTGTTTAAATACATATTATTTGACGGAAATACCATCAACTAACACATTTAATTCCCAAATGAATTCATACATCGTGCTGTACAAAGTACTCAGAGGGGGAAGAAGTACCTGAGTAAAAGTAGAAGTACTCAGATCTTGTACTTGATTAAAAGTAGAAGTACTCAGATCTTGTACTTGAGTAAAAGTAGAAGTACTCAGATCTTGTACTTGATTAAAAGTAGAAGTACTCAGATCTTGTACTTAGTATGGACTGGGATAAATATAGCTGGAGTTCTGTCCTAGCAGGTTGGATCATGGACAAACATTTGTATTTGTATTTAGTTACAAAAAGGCAGATTTATCTTAGTTTTGTAACCCTATGTTGGAGTTGAGGTACTGTATTTTCAGACATATTTAAAAAACATTTCAAACATAATTGTTGAAGAAACATGACAAAGAAAACAGAGACAGACGCAGTGTACAGATGACTCATGCGTTTTGAATGAAACTCAACCTGATAAACTGTCATGATGAAGCTCCACCTATCACCTGACTCGCATGTGACTAACCAGGAAACAGGTTGTTATTCTGCCTCGCTGAGATGACACACACACACACACACGGACTATAAGATTCAACTTTACACCAAACACACCTCTTCCACTGAGAGGACGTCCACAGGAGGGAATACTGGAATACCTTCCACTTCAAGCAGCTGCTGAATCCACACACTGAGAGTTTGACCAGAACAAAGACTCAAAGTGAAAGTAAGTCTCAGGGAACAGGGAGCAGCTGCTGCTGAGTTTACTGCTTCACTCACAGACAACATGGCTTCCAGATTAGAGGAAGATCTCTGCTGTACTGTCTGCCATGACATCTTTAAAGATCCTGTGGTCCTGTCATGCAGCCACAGCTTCTGTAGAGACTGTCTGCAGAACTGGTGGACGGAGAAAGTCATCAAAGAGTGTCCACTTTGTAAGAGACCTTCAGTTTATGAACCTCCCTGTAACCTGGTGTTAAAGAACCTGTGTGAGAGTTTCCTACAGGAGAGAGGTCAGAGATCTCCAGAGGCTCTCTGCAGTCTGCACTCTGAGAAACTCAAACTCTTCTGTCTGGACCATCAGCAGCCAGTGTGTCTCGTCTGCAGAGATTCAAAGATCCACAAAAAACACAGTTTCAAACCCATCGATGAAGCTGCTCAGGATCTCAAAGAGGAGCTTCAGGAAACTCTGCAGCCCTTCAAGAAGAAGTTAGAGACTTTTGAAGAAGTTAAAGTGAAGTTTGATCAAACAGCAGAACACCTGAAGGTCCAGGCTCGACGCACAGAGACGCAGATTAAGGAGCAGTTTAAGAAGCTTCACCAGTTTCTAGAAGAGGAAGAGGAGGCCAGGATGGCTGCACTGAGGGAGGAAGAGGAGCAGAAGAGGAGGATGATGGAGGAGAAGATGGAGGCTGTGAGCAGAGAGATAGCAGCTCTTTCACACACAGTCAGAGCCACAGAGGAGGAGCTGAGAACGTCTCCTTCCTGCTCAACTACAAGGCTGCAGTGGAGAGGCTGCAGCGCCCCCTGCTGGAGGATCCACAGCTGCCCTCAGGAGCTCTGATCGACCAGGCCAAACACCTGGGCAACCTCAGCTTCAACATCTGGAGCAAGATGAAGGACTTGGTGTCCTACTCTCCTCTCATCCTGGACCCAAACACTGCTGATCCAAACCTCATCCTGTCTGAAGATCTGACCAGTGTGAGAAAAAAAGAAGAGGAGGAAGAGGAGGTAGAGGAGCGAGAGGAGGAAGAGGAGGAACTTCCTGATAATCCAGAGAGGTTTGATTACAGCTCTGTCCTGGGCTCTGAGGGCTTTAACTCAGGGACTCACAGCTGGGAAGTCCAGGTTGGAGACAGTACATGCTGGGATCTGGGTGTGTTAGCAGAGTCTGTCCAGAGGAAGGGAGACATAGAGCCTGGATTATGGAGAATAGAGTATGATGAAGGTGAATACTCAGCACGGTCACCATCAGATCCAGAAACTCCTCTCAGCCTGCAGAAGGAGCTCCAGAGGGTCAGAGTGAATCTGGACTGGAACAGAGGAAAGCTGTCGTTCTCTGATCCTGACACTAACACACACATACACACCTTCACACACACTTTCACTGAGAGGATGTTTCCATACATTGGCAATTACAATGTACACACACTTAAGGTGTTACCTGTGAAGGTCTCTGTGTCTCTGTGACTGTAGAACAACAGATATAGATGATGATGATGATGATGATGATGATGATGATGATACTTGTATCACCTACAATTCTGAGACTTGTTTAAGGCAGAAAGATTTATCTTGAAAATGCTCCACTTGGAAGATAATGTGTAACTCGTCTAAATATGTAAATGCTCACCTGACTAAAGCGAGCGCTGACAGAGTGATCACAGGTTTAGCCAAGTACTCCATGCTCTGGTGCTCCACGATGCTGTCGACCGCTTTCCCGTAGTAGTACGGGATGAAGGCCTCACCTGCAGGACAAAAGGACAAATAAATATCATGTTAGTTTCATGTGAATATCATGTGAATATCATGTGAATAAGAGCTGGACACAAACAGGGGTTTCTGGGTCTTAACCGTTCTGATATTTCACATCATCAATTAGCAAGTAAATTGCACAAGATCTGAGTACTTCTAAGTAAAAACACTTTTTCAAATGTTTTATTTTTTGGGGTGACAAACAAAAAGCAACACCAGGGTAACTTTTTTGTAACCCTTTAAAACAAACTAATAACAAAGACAATTTTTAAAAAATGACAAAGTAAATAAAACAATAATAACATATGTTTCATAATGACTTCAGAGTTTGATTGACAAAAAAAAGATATTGTCAACTATATTAGTAGATTGTAATTTATAAAATGTGTAATACATCCAAAATGTCTTTCTAGCCACTTAATTGCGAGGATTTGATGCTTTACTTTGTTTTATGTAATGAACATGGAGGATTGAGAACATGTTTGGTTAAAATGGGTCTAATAATGGATATTTTGATATACACCAATAATGATTATGAGTCAAAGTATAATCTGCAGAATAATCAATGATAGAGTTTTAACAATGTTAGGAGTCACTTTAAAGGTGCAGGGACATGTAATGGAGCTTTCTTTTAAATTGTATTAAATGACTTATATGCAATATATCTTCAACAATAAATCCACTTTGCTCTATCCTGATCTCTCAGTCTGTTTCTTTTATTATGTCTCTGCAATTATTTTTTTAAAAACATCGTTTTTCCTCCTTTTAGTGAATTAGTCGATATCGATAATCGATAGGAATGGATCCAACACATTGTACGTGATACGTGACGTGACGTGGCAAGATGGCGGGCCTCTGTTTGGCTACACCACTCATCTTGCCCATAGATATATATAAACACTAGATGGCTCATGGGAGATTTTCCAGCGTAGCTCACCGGCCGCCATCTTGCTACAGTCAACAGCTCTGGTACGCGCTATGGTAGCTGTTGTAAGGTGAGTGATCTGCACAAAAATACTCTTAACTCGCTGAAATCTTGACTGATTTACAAACGGTTTGGTTTATTATAAACATTATTAGCATGGCTATGATACAGGATGCTTGGACATGTTGACATTGCAGCTTTTCTTTGTGTATGTGGTTGTATTTATTAGCTGGCTAATAGTGAGACCTAGCATTAGAAAGTTGACCTTTGAAGCTGAAAGGATCAGATGTCTACAGAAGCTGAAAGGATCAGATGTCTACATCAACGAGCATCTGACCAAGTACAACGGCGACATAGCCAGAAAGGCTCGCTTCATGAAAAAACAGAAGAAAATTCAGAACACCTGGACAACAAACAGCAAAATATTTATAAAGCTAAACGGAACACCTGAGGAGGCCAAAGTACTGGTCATCAGAAACATGGAGGATCTGGATAAATACCAATAATCTTCATGTTCTGGACCACACATAAGGTAACAAGCACTTACACACAACCATGACTCACACTGAATGGAGGCAATCATCTTCAAAAGGGGAAAATATTAATATGTCTCAGATGATCAAGGAACAAGACCAACTGTTGCTAAAAACATTTGAATACACTGACTATAAAACAAAAGATCTGGATTATGAAATAGACCCGGACAATAATTTCTTCTCTTCTATCATCAACAAATGCTGTTATTACACTGATCAACAGTACAACCAGAGCATATCATCAGAGGGCAAGCTATCTATTATTCACTTCAACAGCAGAAGCATGTATGCAAACTTTAATCTCATCAAGGAATATTTAAATCAGTTTCAACAAACATTTAGCATCATTGACATATCTGAAACTTGGATCACGGAGGACAAAGGCATAGACTTTGAGCTGGAGGGTTATGAACTCAGATACATAAATAGACAGAACAAGGGTGGAGGAGGAGTAGCCTTGTATGTGGACAATACTTTAAAATGTAAAGTGATGAATTATATGTCAACAGTGATTGATAATGTATTGGAATGTATCACGATTGAAATCTGCAAAGAAAAAACGAAAAATGTAATCATCAGTTGTGTATATAGAGCACCCGGCTCTAGTATTGAGATTTTCAAGGACTGGATGGAGGAAATATTCTCAAAAGTGATTCATAAAACAGTTTTCATTTGTGGTGACTTCAATATTGACCTTCTAAATCCAAATAATCACAGCATGACAGAAGAATTTATCAACACAATGTACAGTATGGGTTTATATCCAAAAATTACTAGACCCAGCAGAATCACATCGCACTGTACTACTCTCATAGACAATATATTCACAAATGACATAGAAAACAATACAGTAAGTGGACTCTTAATAAATGATATAAGTGACCACCTACCAGTATTTGCAGTTTATGACAGAAACTATAGTAATAACATGCCGGACAAAGCTATTCAATACAGACGAGTTAGATCAGAGGAAGCAATGAACGCTTTAAAAAAAGCCTTACTGGCACAAAGATGGGATGATTTATACAAAGAAAACAATATTGACAGCTCATATGATCAATTCCTGAGAATTTTTTTATCACTATATAATACATTGTCAAATACAGTAGAAAAATGAAATATGCAGAATGTTCATGGATCACAAGGGGTTTACAAAATGCCTGTCGGAAAATACTAGACAAAAATAAAAACAACATTAAAGAAATATGGAGCATACTGAATAGTATTATAAAAAATGGGTCTAGAAAAAGGAGTTAACCTACATACTTCATTGACAAGGATAAGGAAGAGGAAAATATGGATGTTGTATCCAACAGTTTCAATGATTTCTTTGTAAATGTTGGACCTGAATTAGCAGACAAAATCCCTGATGGAGGAACATCAGATAAAAACCTGGAAAACTTGATAAAACTTAATCCTTTCTCAATGTTCCTCACAGCAGTGCATGAAAGGGAAGTAGTTGATATTGTAACGAAATGTAAAAACAAAAAATCTACCGATTGTGATGACATTGACATGACTGTATTAAAAAAGGTTATAGATGTTATTTCAAAACCATTCACACACATATGTAACTTATCATTCCAAACTGGTGCATTTCCTAACAAAATGAAAATAGCAAAAGTCATTCCTTTGTTCAAAGCTGGGAACAAACATCACTTCACAAACTACAGACCTGTCTCACTTCTACCACAATTCTCAAAAATTCTTGAAAAGCTTTTCAATAACAGACTGGACAATTTCATAGAAAAACACAAACTTCTCACCGAAAGTCAATATGGATTCAGAGCCAATAGATTAACATCGATGGCTTTAGTAGACTCACTTGAAGAAATTACTAGCTCAATTGACCAAAAAAAACATGCCATTGGAATATTCATTGACCTAAAAAAGGCATTTGACACAATTAATCATGACATATTAATAAAAAAACTTGAACGTTATGGAATCAGGGGTTTGTTTTGGAATGGGTAAGGAGTTATTTAACCAACAGGCAACAGTTTGTGAAGCTGGGAGAGTGTTGTTCTTCATATTTGGACATTACATGCGGTGTCCCCCAGGGGTCAGTATTGGGGCCGAAACTATTTATTAGGTATATTAATGAAATATGCAATGTATCGACAGTACTCAAGTTTGTTTTGTTTGCTGATGACACTAATATATTTTGTTCTGGGGACAATGTACAGCTACTATTGGAAGAGATCACAGCTGAAATATGCAAACTAAAGTTATGGCTAAACAGTAATAAGTTATCATTAAACTTGAATAAAACAACATTAATCATATTTGGAAATAGCAATACACAAGCATCCATTAAGATAGATGGGATTTTCATTGAGAGAGTTAAAGAACATAAATTCCTTGGAATCACAATTGATGAGAAACTGAGCTGGAAACTTCACATAAAACATATTCATTCCAAAGTCTCAAGAAGTATTGCAATATTAAACAAGGCAAAACAGATTCTTGATCAAAATTCCCTCTACATTCTTTACTGTTCATTGGTTTTACCTTATTTAAGTTACTGTGCAGAGGTTTGGGGCAGTAATTATAAAACTACAACACAATCCCTATTTATTCTACAAAAAAGAGCAATAAGAATTATTAAAAATGTCGGCTATAGGGATCATACAAACCCATTATTCTTAGAGCTAAAATTATTAAAACTGTCAGATCTTGTTGAATTAAAAATCACACAAATGATGTTTAAGGCAAAAAACGTTCAATTACCTGGGAATATTCAGATATTGTTCAATGAAAGACAAGGGAATTATTATTTACGGGGTTCATTTATATTCACTAATGTTAGGGTGCGCACAACAAAGAGAAGTTTTTGTGTTTCTGTTTGTGGGGTGAAGATCTGGAACAATTTGAGTGAAGAGCTAAAGGGATGTCCAAACATAAAACTATTCAAAAAGAGGTATAAAGACACAATTCTCACAAGGTACATGATAGATGAAACTGCTAAACCATAACTGTTTATATTCTTGTTTTGTATTCTATTTATGAATTTGTGTTTGTATGAATTTGTGTATGTATATATGTATATATATAAATATATAGAGACCATTGTCCTAACTTGCCTGTATATATTATATGAATGATTATATAAATGATTCAAGATTATAAGTATACGTTTATATTGTATGTTAACATATATTAAGATGTAAAAAAAAAAAAAAAAAAAAAGGGAGAAGGGGTCAGATTAAATAAGTGTAAACTTCTTCCGACCCCTTTTCGGACGTGTAATTAGCTAAAGCTTTGTTGTTTATTGATATCAGACAATGATACTACAGATTATTCAATTATTAATTAAATGTTTCGTTTTGTTATTGCATTCATTTGTATAGTACTGTATCATGTCTGTATCACCTTTTGTATCATTTGTATTTTCTTTGGTTTTACACGCTCGAAAAAAATAAACCTTTTTTGTAACTCTTAGTGTGGTTGTCTTATTCTTAAAGTATACATACATTACATACATACATACATACAATTACCCCAAAAATATGATAATTTCTGTGTGTATTTTTGTCCTTACCCTTAATGTTAAAGGAAAGAAGGGAGGAAAATGTTGACAATCATTTATATATCTGGCTACCTTTCTCATGTTTTTAAGGTTTCCCAAAACCGGAGAGAGGAGGAGGCAGTGGGAAGTTGCCCTAAGAAGGGACGGTTTTGTTTCCTGTGGCAGGACACTGCTCTGCAGTGATCACTTCAGTTGTGAGGACTTTGACAGGACGGGGCAGACTGTCCGGCTTAAAGATGGTGTTGTGCCAACCGTATTCAACTTCCCAGCTCATCTTCAAAGGGTATGTGTATCATTGGCCAACAAGAATTCAAGGTGTATAAGATTGATATATAAATATGTGATTAAATGTCACACTTTAGTTTTTCTTTCTGCAACTTTAGGAATAAATAATGTGTTGTGTATTACAGCACATTTTAAACACTCAAAATGTCTTTAATTATGTTTATTTTAGCCGGAAGCAACAAGAAGCACAACCACTTCAAGAAGAGCGGAAGATGAACCTCAGCCTAATGTTGTGAGTATTCTGAATGTGGCCAAGACCAGAGAGATGGTCATTGATTTCAGGAGGGTGAGGACGTCTCCTCCTCTGCCCCTGTGCATTCTGGGAGAGGATGTGGCTGTTGTGAAGGACTACAAATACCTGGGAGTGCACTTAGACAATGGGCTGAACTGGAGGATCAACACTGACGCTGTGCACAAGAAGGG